AATGAAAATGAAAATAGAATGTTTCTTCATATCTTTCCCGAAAAATTTTTCTTTTAAAAATTGTAGAAATACTTCATTCTTGATAATTCGACGTACTATATCTTATCGTAGAAAAAAATCTTGAAAAAATTTTTTATAAATATTTTGAATTTCCAACACATTATCAACAAACCTGTACATAGGATGACGACCAGTAAAGTTTACATAAATCTACCACGTCTATTTGCTATGGATACATTCACTGAACTACCTGTTGACACGTCGATTACAGCTTTTGAAGATTCCAATCCCACTGGCTCATAATCTACTCCAATTGCTTATTGTCTTCCGGGTATTGGAGATATTCGTGATAGTTACGGATTTCTAGCGTCCTTCCTGCAGAGCGCAGGATTTCGAGTCATCGCTCAAGATCTTTGTGGCGTAGACGATAGCAGCACAGAATTTACTAATTATACCATTGAATCGATTGCGCTTGATGTTATCGCGGTGCTTGATGTATTGAAGATTACACAACCAGTGGTCTTATTTGCCAACTCTCTGGCGGCAGCATGTGCTGTGACACTTGCTGCTGAACAGTCACAGCGTATAGCTGCAGTCATATCTCTTGGTGGCTTTTTTTCGGGATATGCCGAAGGACAAATATTTTCGACCTCTCAGCTATCTTCTTTTCAATCGATTGTGGAGTCAGCCAGCATGAATATCTGCTTTCAAGAGCTTTTTGACAAGCCACCGTCGGATCTACCGGCTTATATTGTAGTGGTCAAGGGAAAAATGTTATCCAACTGTGCACATGCTGACATTGTCGGCGAAATTATCAGAGTAACCAAAGAACATGCTTGAGCCCAAATTAAGTCTGTTCAAACTCCTGTGCTGTTAGTTATGGGCAATAGAGATCTCGATTTCGAAGATCCAGTGCAAAAAAAAAAACAGATTTTATAGCATCACAATTCAGTATTAGCCGTTTGGTAGACTAAGCCATGGTGGATGGAGCAGGACATTATCCTCGTGTAGAAGTCGCAAATGAGATAGCACAAGTAGCTCTCGAGTTTTTGCGTAGAATTGGTGTCATATCAAGTTAAAGTAACTTTGATTGATAGAAAAGGACATGCTTTTTAAAGAACCTTAATATAAAAGCGTAAAAATATGTATCTTTCAAATATTACATTGAATGCAGTGAACACGAAAGTTTAGCAGAAATGCTTCCTTTTTTTCAAGAAATCTTGAGGGTGTGGGCAAAGAAGACATTCTATAACACCGACATGTACATATCTCCATATTCACAACCGATTTAGTCAACTCTAACATCCATCCACATCCACATCCCAAAAGAGAATAACCACTACTTGCATAAAAAAAAGATGCTTTTCTCTAATCTATATGTTGTATTGCTGAGTAAAGTAGAAGCAGGTTTTAAGTAACAGTATTGAATCCGCTCATTGCAGTGACATTTTACAATTTTGCCGTCACTTCGTACCTAACAGCATCCTTTTAATACATGAACATTGACTCAAATGACTCGATATGAATGTGAGAATTGGGATGGCAATACTCTGTAAGAGAATTTTCAACAACATTCATAAATAACTCAAAGCCATTCGAATACACATGTATCTTTGGATGCAGACTGCACTCTGGAATGTCTTTCAAAACCATCTGTTCTTTTGTCAAGATTAAGTGTTGGCCTTTGGAAAGAATAATACGTAATTTTTTAGCGGAAGCATTATGAGCTTCGCTGCTTACGCAATAAATCGATGTTATTGAAGCCGATTGTTTATGTTCGCTCAAATTCTCAATCATAGTCATAAAAGTACTGATACTGATAGCGCCACCAATGAATAAATGATGTCTGATATCTTTAATAATCTTAAAGGTATTAGTTAGAAATGAAGCCCAACTCGCAGTGACAACTGTGCAGTTCGAAATAATTTCGTTTAAAAGAATACTATTCGGATCATGCTCATCCTCTTGTTCAAGAACCACACTATAGGTCTTGTCATTGATCGTTTCAATCATACTGTTTTTATAATTGATGTCATATATTGTCCCCAACGATAATCAAATAATTTTCCACCATCTTGCCGTTCAACTACCAATGAGATAGTCGATATACTTGTAATAGTTTCTGTCTTAATAACTGTAATCAAATGAAATTTCTATCTCATTTACCGTCACCAAGTTTGTCGTACAAATGTTTCTCTAGATTAACGAAGATTGATGAAAGAGCATCATATGTAACTCACCATGCATTCTATGATTTAGGTGTCACTCTGTCGTCGAAAAATTAATGGATCAGTTCCAGCCAATACTTGCACACAAGCGGATAATATTCTGGTATTACTTGAAGGACGCAATGTTTGTTAGCAATGCGTTCTATGTGGGCATGAGTAAATTCAAATCGTCAATGCGTTTCGCGACATAATAGACGGTGTGTACCGATAAAAAAAGGCATGCATCCGTTATATAATCCGTATGATTGAAAAATTACAAAACGCTGGATGATTTTCGAATATATATCCGTAAAATATCGATGTTTTTTTTGCTATTTTCCTTAAGACTTGATGTTTTCTATTCGACAAATTTTTTCTGATAGTCGGTAATGATCTGAAATAATAAAGTAGACTTTGCTCAATTCATCGATAGAAAAAATTATGAGAACCCAGTATACATCTGCATTTGTACATCGAATAATAGAGATAATACAATCATATGCTAACAACCAACAAGGATGTATGGATGCCAGTAGAGCTCGGCCTGATGTTTAATCAAATAGTTTATGCGTCCCATTGTCCCTTTTTCTCTCTAAAGATACACCTTTAAACGGGTTCCATGATAGCACAAGCTACAGATGTAATCAAGAAACGAATAGAATAAAGCTTTGGTCGACAATCTGCCAAGAAGTTGCACAAAACGCAGAGAAAATAGCAAACACAAAATAGTTAGGAGATGAGGCTCATGATCAACTGTAACATACTTCTGTCAAAGTTAGTGGTCACAATAAAATTATGTGAAAGCATGAAGTAAGAGAAACCAGGGAGTGAAATTAATAGTGCAATTATCGATGGGCATAGGTGTTTTAACTATTCTGCTAATGTTCAGAAAAAATATAAAATATAGTCTGCTAGTAGAAATGTTTCTTAAATTCGACATAATCGAATTAGCTCTCGTTAGAGTGAATGTTTTGCACAACTACCGAGTGTATTACGTATCTAGAGGCAAATAGTAATTATTGAAAAAAAAGAGATACTATGCAAGACATTAAAAAGTTTCTTCAGGAGAATGCAAACTCTAGAACATATCAGAATAAGTACAATGAAGAATTTCAAACATTCAACAAGACTGTATTTTATATTGCAAAATCAATTATTTGAAAGCGTATGCCAAGTTGTGGAAGAGATATTCAAGTCAGATTTCCAAAATATACTGCCATCACCATGTTTCACCTGTCAATTCATTAGAAATAGCGCTACAAGATTCTTCAATTTTTTAATTTGATTACTATAACTGATTGTTGTTTTTTTCAATCTCGTTGTAATTGTAATAGACAAAACTACTTTATGTAATCCTCTCATTGCCACCAAACAATACGTTTGATCAGTGTTTTTCTAGCATATATCATTACTAATAAGGTCACAGTCGAACAATAATGTCAATAAAAATGGGCAATAGGACGAAAAAGTAACCAAATTTGGAAAATAACGATCACCTACATACCATTAGTCTACAATCAAACGGATCGGCATCTCAAGAGCAATACTTAAAGTGCCTCCTGCAGAAACTTAATTAAAGCATGGCGATATATATATTCGCCAAATTTCTATCTCACTCTAGCTATTTTCTCAACACATGAAATAATAAAAGCTACTATTTTAGTAGCAGCAAATACCGAGGATCAAGTTCTAAAAAATATTCTTATTCATCTAGTTAAATTTATTTATTGGGACGCGTTACAAAATTGAAGACTTTTCGTACATTAAAACGCTTCAAAAGTTGATCGCTAAGTACATTTTATACATCTTGACTTATAATATAACGACTTTTTTGTAAAATTTACGTGTCTACGTAAAAAACAACTATGTTTCTTTATTCTTTTATGCCTTGGTTGAAAGGTATTTAAATCAAATTACTTTTAAAAACAATTTGTTTCGAATGCATTTGATGGTTACTTTGGCATCGTTTGTAATTATTTACGTGTTATCAATTATTGTCTATCTCCGATTACAACTATATAAAGATTGGCTCACATAACATTCACTTTCATCAAACAAAATGTTTTCTGTTCTGTTCTTGCTTATCTTCTTTGTGTATGGTCTTAATGCTCTCTCTTGTGTTGATTCTATACATTCTTTTCGAGTACCTCGAAAGAATTTCGACTGGAATACTATTAGATTAGATATGATCGAAGAAAATTTTCAACCAGACCCGCGGAATGATGATATTGTTTGTCATGTTACTATTATCATCGATTACAATATTCAAGGAGAAGATTACGTCAATGTCACTTATGGTGAACTCGTAAGTGATATTTGTGATTACATGGAATTTGGGACAACATTCACCTTAAAAGACGATCAACAATCGATAGTGAGCTATATCGACTATATATGTTCATCACATCATTTCTGTGAATATACATTTGTCAATCAATGGGCTAAACAATTACTTGGCACTGATTATAATCCTTTACATACTAGCATTACTCATCTACTGTCAGATTCTTCTGAATCTTCAAAATGTTATTGGAATAGTGCAACATCTGATTGTGCAAGTTATATGTGTTTTGCACTCTATGATGAATTGAAAGATATTCCTTTGAGCAATGATAGTTGTCTCGAAAATCATTCATCAGGTTCAATTTATATCTATGTGAAAACAAAACTGATTGAATCTTCACAAAGTTCACCAATTGAATTCGAGTACAAGTGTAAGAAAAACAAATATACGCAAGAGCTATCCTATCATTTCACTGATCATCAACGTTTCGGCGAGAGTATGTATACTTCGAAGTTTTCTTTTACTTCTAATGAGTATCTAAAACGATACTTTAATACTTTTCTGTTTCCGAACTACTGTTTAAAGGGTTATAGTAAATAAAATCTCTAGAATTTCACTATTTGTCTATATAACATTTGAAATACCAAACATTTATTTTCTAACTTCGAATCAGAATGATGCAAGTAACTGCCAAGATGTAAATACTAAGTTCTCAATTTAACTCGATTTATCATACAGAAAATATTTTTAAGTAAAGATCTACTCAAAAAAAAAAAACCAAACTCGATATGTCTCAAGTCTTTCTATAGTGTTTTCTTTGAACTCACTAACATTCATATACTAAAAATTCGAACAAAACTTTTGATGAGAAAAATACTGATAGGAGTAGAATAATATTTTTACTGATTTTGTAATACAATCATTGTAGATTGACCTATCATAAATCGATGATAAACTAAGTTAGAATTGTGAGTAGAAATCTGTTTTCTTAGTATACAATAGTAATGATACTTTACTAATATATATATATATATACAACTCTTATAGAAATACAAAATTTTAATAGAATTCTTGTAAAGAATAAAACTCGTAAGTTATGTTTCTGAAAAATTTTGTTTGTCTTCCTACTAATATTATCTTGATCAAATACTTTATGTTCTTCTCTTTCTCATTTTTATTCAAGGTACACATAGTTTGTCTTGCTCACATCAAACTTTTACAAGTATACCGATTAATCTTCGTTCAACAAATTTCTCATCTACTCTAATTGAATTGGATCAAAAGATTAAATCATTCTTGAACAATATTAATCGTTGTGACATTTATATGGAAGCCGACTATCGTCAACATGATGGTCATGTAACCATTAATTATGATGAACCTAAGAGTAACATACATCAATCCATGAGTTTTGACATGATAATTTCAGTAGAAAATTCAATACCATCCATTTGGAGTCGAATGTATTATACATGTTTACCACCTCACTCATGTGATCGAAAATTAGTTCACAAATGGATTCGATGGCTAATTGATATCAATAAGCAAACTTTACAACTCGAATCAAGACTTTCATTAGAAAGTACTATTCAATCACACAAATGTGATATTTGGAGTCATACCATTGATGATTCAGTTGATGTATGTTTCGCTTACATGTATAAAAGAATTGAAAGCATGCCTCTTGACAATACCAATACTATTGATATTCCATCAAAGAATACAAATAACGAAGACAGAAAAATGGAAACATACTTGCCACCTTTTGCATGCTCGCGTTTTCATGGCAAGAAAAATGATGTATATAAATATGTTCTTGATCAAATTCTGAAACAATGCATTCCTAAACATTCACTCAAGAGTACTCAAGTTATATCGACCTCAATCAGTGAGCATCCATGGATCGATCAAAATGATCAATCTATTAATGTCAAGTCATTATTACTACATTCTAAAATGAAATCGAATCGAATAGAGCAATCGACAATTAAAATGAGCTCATCATCATCATCAATAACAACCACTGTAGAAACATCTACTGACCCAATATCTTCTTGAATCATCATGGATGGATCGACTAATTTTGAACATAATTCATTAACATTTGATGCAGAAACAACTGAATAACAAAAGTATTTCAGAAAGAAATTTCGATGATTACAATCTACAAATACAATAGGTACAAATTAAATACTAAATCTCGATTATTGTGAAACAAAAATTCAAATTATAACCTATTGTAATAACATTTTCATTGGTTATAATTATTCTAATCCATTATAATTTTAGTTTTTTTTCACCAAAGTTAGGTTAATAATTTTTATAATAGTTAGTTATAATCATTTAAAATAATCATAATCAATCTAAAGTCTAATTTGAATAGATTAAAGTTTTGATTTTATTTCACAATGATGTAGTATTGTTATCAGAAGCTGCACTTTTTCTATTCTTTGTTTATAAAAATAAATATCAATATACTTAACTTCAATAGTTAAGTTAAGTGAATACTACTTAATCAAAGCTAAACAGTAAAAGAAAGTTGAACATGCATATTTATATTTATTGATTCTTTT